CAAAGTACAAAAAACACAGAAGGAACGTAATCATAATAATCATAAAAATTATTAAGCTTTTAAATGAGTGACATTTCCAGTAAAATAATCTAAACGGATCACTACACAATTTAAAGAGTCTGCTCTCGAAAATTTCGCTACTATTGTAATTATTTACAGTAGCAGTCTGTAAAGGCATTAAACAACAATCGCAATCACAATAATAATAATGCATATTATAGTACATGCAAATGTGTTGGAAACGAAAGTCAACGCCACCGTAGCGTTTTATAATATTATTCAATACAATACAGTGTATTCGTACAACAGTGATATTATACACGAAACTGCACAAAATTAGTTAAACACGATAATATTACAASTTTCGTTAGGAAATTTGCAAAAAACCAAACTGGGCCGAGTATATTATTATTAAGCTCGGGCACGCATAAATATATATACACCAGCGGGGTTGAGTCGTTTGAAAACTGCGATGTTTCGGGAAATAAAATAATTTTCATGTTTGTGGTGCGGTGAAAATATTATAATGTGTTATACTCGCCGTACACGCACACGCATACACATATTATACCGACCCAAACATATAATAATAACAAAGTAACACGCTCGGCAATTTATCATTACGCGGGCGCTGAGAGATTGTATTCAAACAATGAATATTAACGTCATATTATACGGAAACCGTTGTTTCCAAAACGCATCGTCGTCGTTGCCGTTACAGTCATTTTTGGATCCCTCGTGACCGCGTTACAGGGTGAATATATAATTTGATAATAATAATAATAAAAAAAATAGCATGTTCGGATTCTGTGTAAGAGGTTGTTTACGGAAATCGGCAATCTAAATACGAAACTTCAAAGTTACTTAATTTCTAGTAAAACTTAATTGATGTTTATGGTTATGTATGGTCGTATTGTTATGAACTATTCTCACACTATTGGTATAAACTATAAGCGTACAAGCGCATAAAATCAACTAGGGGCTATAGAAATTTGTCTACAACACAAATGTGTTTCTAATTTTTTTATAATTGGTTAGTAAACTATGTCTATAAATTTGTTCGAAAAAATTATTTTTATGATTTACATATGACACCCCTCCCCCACCGTACAAACMCACTCATCATAAAATACTTCAAATTGATAAATTTTGCACAACCATACCTTTAAATTGCAAGTCATTCACCACTCAAAAAGAATCAATTTTAAAAAAAAATGCAAAACGATAGTGTTTTGGAAAAGCGGTGAGGTAAATATGCGCCCATTGAATATTCACCAAAAAAATTTGAAAGTTCAAACATGGGGATATGATTATATAAGAATATTAAATAAATCAGACAAAATAAACTGTAAAATTGATAATACTTTATGCTTAACATACCTATGACTAATTATATAATGATTATGAATTTATGATTTACAATACAGATTACGGTGGTCTTGTAGACCAGCGGTTCTCAACCTTTTTAGTTTTTAGTCACGTACCACCTACACAGTTTGAAAACTTTTGCGTACCACCTGACCATTTTTTTGCTTATTAGTTATTAATAATGTATACGTTTATGTTATATGTATAGAATTTTGTTGATAAATTTATTTTTTATAAAGGTAGATTTTCTTCGCGTACCACCTATGAGCTTTCCGCGTACCACAGGTTGAGAACCGCTGTTGTAGACTTTCGAATCACCACAAATGCTTGGGAAAAAAAAACTTTATATGATTAACTGAGATGATAAAAGTTTTCAAGGATTAAACTTATATAATTATRAACTTAATAAATTCAATATATTCCACGTTTCAGGCATGGTGTCTGTTCGTGGCCAGGCTGCTCCAGGGAACCGCCGTGGGCATCGCATGGGTGGTGGTTCCAGCGTACGTCGGTGAGATGGCCAGCGTTCAGATACGTGGCAAGCTAAGCCTGTTGGTGCAGCTCAGCTACGCGTTTGGACTGTTGTTCTCATACTCAGCCGGTTGGCTTCTAAGTGATTACTATGCACTGGCCGCCACGTCGGCTTGCGTTGCGGTCGTATCCGGTGCGCTGTTCTTGTTCCTGCCCGAGTCGCCTTACTATCTGATGTTGGACGGTCGACCGGACAACGCGGCCGCGTGTCTATGGTCTCTGCGGAGTTACACGGACGATGATCTACAGGCCGAACTGTTGACCGTCAAACTCTCAATTTCAAACGACAGGTATTTATGTGACACGCACTTTTTCACAACGTGTGTATTAGTAGTRTTGTTTGTTGGAAATTTAAATTCAGAAACGTTCGTTCAATAAMCTATGTGCTAAATTGGAAATGGTCGAGTGTCGGAACTCCAGAAGAAAAACTTCGAGAAGGTTATTTGTTGAATTTATAAAATCATCAAGTTCCTCATCGAGTTAGTATGAAGACGTCTAGGTAAATCGAATGAAACACTTTCTCCGAGTAAACGACTATGTCAAGTTTATATCTAGTTTCGAATTTTAACGATGACTGAGACTATGTCTTGTTTGCGATAAGGCGTCCCTTTTTTGTCAGCTTGAGTTTTCATATTATTTAACCTAATTAAATTCAGTAAACTCCGATGGATACAATATATAACGTACGTTTACGATTAGAGTGGCAAGTGTTTGAACGTCACGAGACGCATTCRCATTAAGGATTTTAACCGTACATTTATATTCACGGACTTAGGTTAGGCAATACATCGTTCATTTCGTCGATCAAAATATGTTTGTATACTTGTAAAATRTTATATACAATATATTTTTATCAACTCTGTCGCTTATAAATAATGCAGTCAACGTGTATGCAATTAATATTTATGTAGGTGTCTATCTTTTTCTTTTATATAAAATGAATACCTACCATATCTATATATAGTTTATAAATAGGTTATATAGGTTATATTTTATAAGATGCGTCTACATCGTAATATAACGGCAGGTAATAGCATAGAACAGTAATAGTGGTAATAGCCAATAGGTACCTATTACGTACAGTTCAGTTTTAGAGGTAGATGTCTTTGCAGGTATGTATAAGTACAACATTATCATTTATAATAATAAGCATTGGATACGCGCGTACGCATACAGTACAGTATAATAATAATAATATAATGCAATAATGTGTGTCGTAGCAAAACCTGCAGGGAGTTAGGCCGTTGGTTTTTTTTATTTAATAACTACGTTTATTCGAGGTGTAACCTTACCAATTAATTCTTATTCCCTCTGAGGCTCACGACATGGAAAAGGTTATAATTGGATTAAACGTKATGTTTATAACCTACCGATAAAATAAAAAAAAGTCAACAGCTACGCGTAAGTTATGTGTACAAACAAAATTACATTTTTAAAACAACAGCTCATATTTTTCAATGTCAACGCCAATAATAAAATACGTGGATAATAAAACAACAATTTTAGTGATATAATCTTGACGTCAGGTTAAAATTATAAATATAAACATTTTTTTTTTTTTTTATGGTTAGGGCTTCGACAACTGAGGTAATTAGCCTGGGGAACTGTAATGGAAGGTACTGTAGGTTTTAACACGTGGGTTTTGGGCAGAATTTTGAATGGGCATCCGTGGGTTTCTGCCATGCCCGGTTGCGGGCCGGCGGCCTCTCTCTCCAGACACCGCGAAATGCTCAAAGAGCGATGCCGCCCGTGACCGAGATTCGAACCGGCGACTGCGTGCGTTTGCAACCGACGCCTTAGTCCGCTCGGCCACTCCACCCCCCAATATAAAACATTCTTTTACGCAATTAAACATGATGTATTATTGTTCTCAACAAAGGTATACTTTATTTTCTTAGAAGTAAACATATTATACAAAATAGGGTTGAAAAACTCAAATGACAACAGAGACAACGAATAAAGGTTTGTGTGTTATTGTGTATACAAACAACAATATAGTGAAATAAAATAAATATACGAATATTGATTTAAAATATACTTTAAGTTGTCAACTTAGACTTAATATTAGGTATCAGCGATAAATGTATACTATTAATTTCTAAGTTCTGCAATAATATTAAATAATATTAATTATTATACTATGTATGATAAACCGTGTATACGAATGCCGAGGAAGGTCATATCATATTCAATAGATAGTTTGACTGCACTTTATATACCTACTTTCCAGGTTTTCATCAAAATTTAATATCATTATTCAATAGTATATTTTTAATAAATGAAGTATATCATTACACTATATACTTTAATCAAAACGATTGTATTACGTTCACGGTATATTTTCTGTTATTATTCAAGGTAGGTTTTTTAAAATTATTTTTACGCCGCCGTGACTTAATTATACCTATACTACGACGTGTTTGTGAACAACTTTTAAATTAATTTACCAGTATTCGGTTGAGATTGTCTCGAGGGAATTGTGTTTATCGCCGCTTCTTTTTTTTTCTGATCTCGTCAAACGGTACACTAACAAAAGGAAAGCCGTGTAAATATTTATAGCAATTTCGGAAGACCCGCGAGTAAAAAACAACGACGTAAAACAAAATTGGTTTTCCCTCTCCTACACATGCCACGGTGACTTTGTTCCGTATATATACATATAATATGTACCTATAATCTGCGCGCGCACGATAAAATTCGCCTAAAATATCGTCACCTCTATATGATATAAAAAAAAAGATAAAAATAATAAATATGCTAAATCACACGAAACTTGCTGCGAACGTATATGTATATATATTGGTCTGTATTCATACAATTATCGTATTTTAATGAATTATTCCAATTTTTGATTCATGTTGTCGCTACTTCGGTAATTGTGGGAGGACCAGATATGTGATGAACACTATATCCACCCTAAAATTAAATCCTAATCAAACATCGATATCAATGTCAAAATATCATATGAAWACATATTACACGTAGGTATGTGTAGTCATTTGAAAAAAAACTTGAATTAGGTTTTTCTCCGAAATTATTTGTCTCTCATCATAGATTATTAATACATTAATATCATCCTAATTTCTCGTTTAATTCATATTAGTTTATTCGTTATATCATGTATTTGTCTTGTAACTAGAATTTAAATAAATAAATAAAATAAAATTACCTAAATTTTGATTTACACTCGCACTCACTTAGATTTCAGATTTTGAACTTTTCAACGCATTGTGAATATCCATCTCACACTGTTGCATAATAATATACAAATTATATAATTAATAACATCCTTTTTGATATATTTTGACAGGGATAAAGGGAGCATCAGAGACCTGGTTAACAGAGACCGTCGACCGTTGGTTATCGTCATTGTGTTGGCTGTACTGCAAATGGCCTGCGGGGCTGGCGTGTTGGAGGCGTACGCGGCGTCCATCATGTCGGGCACCCAAATATCGGCCAATGCCTCCGCTGTCTATTTGGGCCTTGTCGTGCTGGTGGCCGCCGTGCCGTTTGCGCTGATTGTGGACCGGTGCGGTCGGCGGCCGCTGATGATCACCTCGTGTTTCGGCACGGCCGCCTGTCACGCGGCCATGGCCACCGTTCTCTGGCGGCGGGATATCGTCGGCCGTAGCTGGCAGCCGTTGTTCTGGCCGATAGCTGGCGCACAGTTCTTCATCAACATCGGTCTCATGCCTCTGCTGTCCGTCGTCCAGTGCGAGTACTTCCCGTCCGACACCAGGGCCCTGGCCGACACGGTTGTCGTGATGGCCGTCACAATCACGTCCACAGTCATGATTAYAACCTACCAGCCGGTGGCCGATGCCCTCGGCGCATCCGCCAACTTCGCTGTCTACTCGGTTGCTTGCCTAGCCGGCGGCCTATTTTGTTGCCTGTTCATGCCCGAAACCAAAAAAAAATCGTTTGCTGAAATACAAATAGACTTCCACAAAACTGTACAGCTCGTTGACGACGGAGTTCAGAAACTATGTGATTATCAGGAGATCTGAGCCACGCTCCTATGGTCAGTGGCGCAACTAGGATCTATCTATTTTCAGTGGAGGAGGGAGGGCGATTATACATAGAAAAAAAACAAGTCTTCACTTTGAAATTGAACACCCCCCCTCCCCTAATCCCCAATGGTTTCACTATTGCCTGTGGAATTAATATATAATATACAAATCCTGCATGAGGTGTTCGTTGACGACAGTATTAGACAAATTTAAACGTATATATTTAATCTCCAGTACAATTAATTATAAATATACAAATGATGTGCAATTCAGTATATAATCTTGGTTCGTACCTTTCAACGCGAAAATATTTTCATCTAACTCCATACGATGTCGTTTAATTATTGTATAATCACTTATTTATATAATTATATTTATTTTTCACTTATAGTAAGACAACAATATTGCGATATGTATTTATTCATCGACATAATTTTCAAGGTTTGTACTTATTTATTTTGTAGTTTTACGGAGTAAAAACTCCATTTACATAAGAAAAAAACAATTACAATTTATATTTATTCTTATATATTATATATATATTTCAGATATAAGTATAGTATTATATTATACTCAATATACTCAGTATATATATTTTTACATGTCCCAATGACCTAACCTCTTAACCATATCGCGTAGGTATTAGTAGATAATAAATGATTTCCTTGTTACTCTTAACTAAATTTTAAATATAATACAATAAACTGAATTATAGACTTATTACTCAATAACAAGGCTATAAATTATAAGTTTTCACTAATAMACGAATGTGTCAACATTTAAGAAAAAAAATTGTTGGGTTCAGAATTCAAAATTACACAAGTAATTAACCTTAAAATTAGAAATTACAACAATTTAGTATTAACATTTTTTTAAATAATAACAATTAATATTATAATAAGCGAGTGTTTTAGGTTAAAAATATAACTTACCTATGTATTGTATATTGTACATGCATACGAGAAAATAATTGATAAAAGTATTTTAATGTAACAAACAAATAAAATAAAATTTAATATTTAAGTATGCAATATAAAAATATGTAAATTTGTATTAATTGTGTTAAATAACATATTWTTTTTTTTTTAAATTATCATCATAGAGAAAATGTAATAATTATGTTCAAAGAAAATATACGATGAGTATTGTGAATTATATTACCCTCGTACATTATTATAATGATATTATATTCAATTTCCTTTCAAAGGATATAGTTAAGTAAAAAGTATTTTCGATTTTAGAAACTCATTCTGGTTGTTTTATACTTAGGTATAAGGGTACTACAAATATCTAAAAGTGTTAACGAATATTCCAGAATTTGGTTAGATATTAAATTACCACAAAACCAAATTGAATAAGTAAAATAATCAAATATAATATAAGTACATGCCTGTCACGCTTATTTAAAAACAAATTTGTTCGTGGTATGTAATATTTAATGAAATTATATGAAGTCAAAAACAAAAGTGTTGTACAGTAAATATAATCAGCTCAACAATAATAAATGTAATTTACAAAATATATGATTGGGTGTGAAAGTAAAATTGTTACTTTTTTTRTATAGATGTAGTCCCAGTTGCATTTTTTAGATTCTGAGCGGAGCGAGGAATGTATTGGTTTTACAATGATGTATTGATGTTAATTTCTTTTTTATTCTGTTAACACTTTTTCTCCCTCTAAACTTGCTCAAAAGTATCAAGTGTAGCATCTTTTCTGAAAGGTTATGTTCTTGAGCTGGTACTTTAAAGAGGTCTAAGAGTTGAACTATTTATAGACATTTTAATTTTGGGAGTTTTTTTGTTGTAATTCGGTTAAAAACATACGCAAAAACTAGAAATTTGGGTTGATTACTTATATTAGCCTTATCTAGACTTGGTTAAATTTCCAAAACATTTGAGCGACTTTTGAGCTTTTTCTTTTATTTTATATTTTTATGATATTTCCTAATTATAATTATACAAATTATGTATTTATATAAATCGTTCTTAAGCTTTTCTTATAATGCTTTGTTTATCAAAATTGAAACGAATAAAATTAAATAAAAATATTCCCTCGTCCACTCAGAATCGTTTTTTATCGAATGCAATCATTGCAGCATTCAAATCGAATACAGTAAAATACCATTATCCTGTCCGCGGATTGAAGGAACGATGGACAACCATCTACCACCGAAATGTTGACCTACTTTCTTTAACATGGAGTTTTATGTGTCTAATATTTAAATTAATATTTACCAATTTACCTAAATGGTTAGAGGGTATTTTTTATAAATATATTATATTATATACGCCTGTCATAAACAGTAGGTACACTGTGTATATGAACTCTAATGATTTCATGGAAATTCAATTATGTTTAACGAAAATTGATTTTTTTTTTAATAACGTATCTATGATTATGATTATATACAAATTGTATTCACCCAGATATCACACCGCGAATGTAAGCTATGATGGATTTTTCTTAATATTCAAAAGTAGTTTCAAAATAAAACGATAAAGTATTTTACATTTTCGTTAAAATTGAAATTCGTATAAAAAGGAAATTACAATGTTTTACATAAATATATTACACGTAATACTCAATATATAACATCATAAACAGGTGTAAGAGATTTATATATTAATAATTATTGTAGTCAATTTACAAGATAACTTTGTGCAGTCTGTCTCCAAAACACATCGATCAAGTATTTAATGTGAAATKGTCTAGGTACATTTTATATAAACATTTAAAAACAATACGTGACACTGAGTAACACAATAAAAATACATACCACCATGTGAATATTATCCATGACCATGAAAATCTATCACACGTATAATATTATACCGACGTGGTATAATAAGGCTCGCGTTACGTGATTCGATCCATCTCAGACTTCCAATCATCTAATTAACACGAATAAACCTCTCCTGTTGCCTAGGCTTATCGTCCTTTTGTAATAATCTTACGCCTAATACTATTAATGACGTTAATAAAGAAAAATAATTATAAAACTATCGGTGTCAATAGTGTAATATAAAATATATATTTAAATATGTAGGAGCTAAATAGAACTATACAGCAAATAAATCTTCTTTTTTTTCTTTGTGCCGTGGATAAAATATAAATTAATTGTGTTCCAACAAAAAAGCACTAGTGCTATATTATTATCATGGTATACATTTAGGGTGAAAGTTATTATGAGTAACTAAACATAATTAAAATGTTTGAACAAGGTTATAATGGTTAACCCGCTCAACTGCAGTTGATAAAAGATATTATTAGCATTTCGTACATTTCAAATAAGATATTTTAACGAGAAAATGTTAATTTCATTATCCTACGTTATGATTATGTACATTTTTATTTCATTGCTGTCTCTTGTGACTACAATCGCATTAATTTAGGTAGCATTTCCATCTAAAAAATTACTAAAGATTCAGTTTCGGCAAGCACTTCATTTTCTGGTCGGACTGACTAAGTGCAGAAAACCACTTGACATTCGTATTTATAGTACGCTATCGATATATTGAACTGTCAGTTGTATACGCACATTTAACGTAAATAAGTAATCTGAACACTGTGAGTTAGTATAGACACTATATTATACACAACAAAAATTAAAAAATACTTTCAGTTAATCTGTTAATTATAACGTTGTTATTTTACATCGCCATGTAGATTTCATAAAAATAGAAATAAATATAAGAAACACACAAATTCCGCATCCTGATACACGTGTATTACTATAATTTATATTCTAATAAATACATCTAACTATTATAGTATTATTATTATTATGTAAATTAATATAGGTACCTATGTTATATTGACACATGAATTATTATTTTAATGTGAATACAAATTACAATATTATAATTCACAATGTATATCGTATATATGTACGTTGTAGTTTATGACATTTCATTATAACCCAGTTATTGCATTATTTATACAAAACAAATTCTGTTTTATTGGAAAACAATTTTAGTACCTATGGAATATAATGGTAAGGAATACACTATGTGTAATAATGTAATAATATAAATATATAATTGCTTTTCTATTATTGACATTTTTGCCATCGACAGAATCATTTCAAAATTGTTCATTCAAAATATACAATCATTAAGCTTTATTAAAAATAAGCTATCTATTATAATGTAGTTTATGAAGTAATGATATAATATTCAATGTATTGTATAATTGCATCATATTATGATATAATCTGAATAATACTGTAATATTACCTACGTGTACACTGTACACTGAACACAATATAACATTTAATAATAATATATTTATTGTATTTATGAAAAAGGTTACCAAGATAATCCCTACCTAATTGATGAGTAAAAATATAAATTAACAAAATAATTGCAAGAATTGGATTACAGATTTACCGCGTGAATAGACCTTAACAGTTGGAAATCACCACTGCTTCCGCCAAAGCTTAATATAATTATAATATATACTTATAAACATTTAGTCATCTTTAAATTTAATACGAGTTAATAATAGCAAATGAAAAAAAGTCTTTAACGACTATTATTTGAATATTGATTTAAATTAAATAATTTTCAAATCGATTGAGTATTATTTACTATTGTATGTATACATCGCGTGTGTGAAATAATTAAACCATATGCGTTATGCATAATTTGTGAATGTGATAATAACATAAATTAATATTTGAAGTATGAACCTATGGATATATTATTAAAAATGTACAACGATTAAAGGTTATTTTAATTTAACTTACATTTAATATTATGCTTATCATCAAGCATAATCTCTTATTTATATGTATTTGAGAATCATCTATTTCATGTCATTATCACCAATGTTATTTAAAGATATAAAATCAAAATCAAAAGGTAAAAGCACCAATAAAACGTTTACGGAAAAAATATATTGGCACACTTACTACTCATTTAAAATTCTCAAAAATTAACAAAAACTTATCCATAAAAAAATTTGATATTTTGAGCAGAGAAAAAAAAGGAAGAAATCGCAACTCATATATTACATCACGTCAACTAAACCAATCAGATCCAAATAATAAGCATATTTTGTTTAAATGTATGATAAGAAAAAAATATTAACCAAAAGAAATACATATTTTCATAGTACAATATACGAGATAGGTTGCAACTTATACATATACCTACTCATAGGAATGTTATAGATATATTGTATAATGATTAAGAAGATACTACCTATACTAATTGATACTTTATTTCGATAATATTATATTCACTTATTTTAAATGAATAAACGATTAATGTTTGATTTCAAAAGTATATTTCAGTCAGGAGATAGTTGCTACTTTAGTTACTTATATAGTATCATCATCAGTTCACAATCGTATACATTTTTAGATAATAAAGGTTAAAGATTGTTTCTTATTTGATATAATAATCATTTGTTAAGAATTAACTTAATTTCTGTATTTATTAATTTTATTACAATGATATTAACAATAATAAAAAAAGCGGGTAAGTCGTGGATGTCACTCTGCTGTACAGTACGTTACAATAGTGGGTTACTGTAAAGGGTGGAAGGTGGAATTAAATTTGAATCCAATGATATATTATGTTGTTGTATACGAAAAACGATTCTGAGTGAAGACGGTTTATCTGTCTAGGATATATTATAAATTATTATTAATACTTATTAAAATATTTTAATTTCCGATGRAMWTTTTTTTTTTTTTTTTATAAAGGTAGACAAACTTATAAACTAGCGTACTTTTAACCATCAGCCACATCATCACTGAATGTCAAAAATACAACCAGTATCGAAATCAATTTCACATATCCGAACAAATCTGTCAAGCACTTAGACCAAACCCACAGGATGTACAAAACTTAATTTTATTCTTAAAAAAAACAGAATTATTGTACAATTTAATTTAATGTAGAAAATTTATACTTAAAATACCAAAAATGTAACAATAAAATTTCTTTTACTAATAGCCTATAGTTGTCGATGCACTTTGATCAATAAAAACAAAAAACTTATAAAAACAATCTTGAATTAATTTTTCAAATCTTAGATATAAAAAAAATTTTTTTTATGAATTTCTAGCATAAAATAATTTTCGRATTTTYRTGATTTTTACGTATGCTGTCAAAATTCAAACTTTGAATATGCTTATAAAAAAAAAATCATGCCTATGTATTTTTAATATTTTTCAACTGCTATTGTAACAATGTGTTAGGTGTCTTGAATTAAATTTTCAAGCTTTTCTACCCAACAAATAAATTTCATTGATATTAATTTTAAAAAAAACTAATAATGATCTAAAATTGCATATGCCTATGAATAGTTCAACTTAAGTTGACATTTTTTAAAAATTGCATGGTATACTTATATAAACATTCCGTGAAAATTGTCTGTATCTGTAGTCATTTTTTTAAAGTTACATCAAAAACCAAAATTTATTTTGTCAAAAACTGATTGTGCGTAAAAATTCCCGTTTTTTCCTTAATTTTTAGTTTGTTTATCCCAATTATTTAGAAAAATATTGAGAATATTTTACTTTTGACTTCCCCAAACTAACAACTAGATTCACTTTCTGATCTAACAAGGTACTGAATTCGAAAATCGAAGCATTTTTACTGCCCCAAAACGTGATGACAGACACAAAAAAAAACACACACACATGACACATCATGGTAAAATCAATAAATTCCTAGTGCTCCAATCAGAATCTAAAACAAACGTGGCTTATATGTATATGCGTTTAATGGTTCTAGCTCAGCCTCTCTTGAATAGTTGTTGGAACAAATGTAAGTTTAAAGTCTTTAAAGTGAATACTTATGTATATTATCAACATAATTAAACTTCTGATAATATCTGCTCATGCTTATGTGTAGCATTAATTGTGTATAAAAAATACAAGATTATTCACTTTTTTATTATTTTATTCTAGATTTACCTGAAGATATTGCTCTAAAACAATGTACAGTACGGATCTTTTAAGTATAAACGTGAAGAGAAAAACTAAACAACAGTTTTCTTTTGACACGGAAAATATTCACAATTTCTGTTATAATGTTTTAAGACTATCTGTTACCATATTATGGTATAAAAATCTGTACAGTTGACGTTTATAATAAAACAAATATTTTATGTAGAATAGTATGCTGTCACTCAAATAAATCGTCCAGTTATCCAACCTATAACCCACTCCAATGGGCGTGCAGTCCGATAATTCCCCATCTGAGAGAGGGTGGTTATATGCATACCTTAAGTACCTAATATAGATGATTAAAATAACTATTATATTTAATCAATGGCAATATATACATAAATAAATAGATCACTGGATAACATTAATTTTATATTACCCACTTTTGTTGATCATTTACAAAACACATGATTGAACATCAGTGAACAGACATTAGCAGAGAAAAATTAAAAAGATAGCGTACTATTTATTATAAGTTATAACTAAATGTATTATAGAAAATCATATAATAGGAAGGTATCTTAAAATAATGATAACATACTATAGTTAATTTGTATCGCCATATAGGTACACACTTCACCATCTTATACTAACTTAAAAATTAACTGTTCTTTGAGTCTTTCACTTTATGCATGCACTAATCAACACATTGCATATCATAAACTGTTAATATTCTATGACACTCAACCTTTAGTAGACAATGATATAGAAAGTTAATAGATGATATTATATTATTGTAATAGGTAACTACTGTATATTGTATTGAAATAGGTAAATAATTATTTTTATATTAATTTTTATATTTATTAGCGACTTAGACTCGATACAAAATATTGTAACTCTATGTAAATATTTATAAGTATATAATTGTATAAAACTCAAAGCTAATGGCCTATGCTGCCGAAGCTGTAACGTTCAATAAAAAAAAAAAATATTGTAATATTTATTATTGAAATACCACTTATTTGTTATTAAAATTGATTTCTTATAATTCAAAATGCTGTAAAAAAAAAGGTATGTGTGAATTTCTTTTAAATTAATAGATCAATTGTTAAACGTCAATGATATAGTCCGAGAACAGTTTTATTTTAATATTTCAGCTATTATTTATAATGTAATTATATCAGAAACTAAGTTCTACAGGTGGAGCTTAGATTTTAGTAGTATACCTACGAAAAATTATAGTTTACTGTATTACAAATGCAATTTATTAAAATTGAATTCTATAATACTAATTTTTAAATACAGTTGAAAATCTTATCAGTGTGATTTAATAATGTAATTTAAATTTTAATGGTCTGTTATATATTTTATAACCTAAGCCTATACAGAGTGGACCATTGGGCTTACCCATAACGTTTACATACGAAAACGGAAAACAAGGTGGCCCACTCTGTATATTAAGAGGAGTACAATCTTCAACAAACACACGACTATAATTATAATTTATAATATTATAAATTATGACTAACTACGCTGACATTTTTTTTTTTTTACCACACTAAATCGATGTCATATTTTTGTTGGCATAGACTACATTACATTCAAACAACTTTACGTTTCTAGTTTTTATAAATTACTAAAATTAAATATTAGTAGATACCTACGCTATCGCTATGAATATAATACATGTATACGTAAATGGCATTAGGTACTAATTTTACGCGAGAAATAATAAGAAAATTATTAAAAATCTATGTTTTTCTGATAATAACAATAACAGGCGTCCCGTAATGAGGGAAACAAATATTATTGTTACGCTTGTCTACTTATACCCCATTTTTTATCAAATTATTCAGTTTGTGATTTTTAAGTAAATTTTAGTGGTTATTTTTGGAATGAATACTATTTTTTTAAAACCTTTTACTAATAGTAAAAATTATATTATTATATAATTATAGACAAAACATGTTTTTTACTCACACTGGTAATGTGTAATGCAAAATGATTCAAGTTACATAATATATTATGACATAGTTAAGTTTCCTTATATCAATAGTTCTAATTACGTATATTGATTACGCTTAAACAATTCATCAAAACCGTGTACATTTTTAGTTCAAGTTGATACCAAAGTGATTGTCTATAAAACCACCTACCACGACGTGTCCACGTCAAACGTAGTATATTAATTTTTAATATTTTTATAAATTTTCATAAGTTATATAAATTTCTAACTGTTTCGTTTTCTATTCGTTATAACAATATTAATTGTTAGAACAGTTAAAAATCGCATCTGATATTTTTATTTTTATTGTCATGTAACATATTATGTCTATATAGAATTTGGCGTCTTAATCTAGTACTACATCGATTATCGTTAACTACAGTATACGAGAGTCGTAAGTTTATGCTCATTTATTTATCATTTATATTAATAGCATAATATTACAACAGTGAATACAATTTATGTTTTTCGTCAAAAAACTTTCCGAAATAGTGTCTACTTGCATGCATGTATAACGTTATACCTACACAGTGTGTGTGCGCTGATATTTTGCTAACATCGTATTCCTATTTCCGGTAAGACTTGAACTGTGTTTAACCGTTCAACGTAAAGGTATACATGATAACATAACATATAATTGATCGCTATATTTTCGCTTGTCTCTATTATTTATTAATATTAATATTTTTTTTTTCTATGAGGAACCGACAATGACGACTAGAGCGGATAAGGACAGAACTCAAACAAGTTGGATTCGTTGTGTCTAAACGACGTTAGGTTAACGAATTGCGTTCGTCCGGTCATTACGATATGCCTACTATAATAATACTGTTACTCATATCATTATAGAGCGTTGTGTGATTGTGTGAATTAACGTTACCCGCAGACCGCAGTTGTAACGATGTGTCGATAACGAAAAGGTCAGTTCATCTAATTTATAGATTATACACCGACGGATATAGCCGTTTTATTTTGAAACTTTATATTATATTTATTTCATTTTAGTATTAACAGACGTGCACGCCAAACGGGTTGATCGTTGATCGGTCCGTAAAAACTAAAAAGACCGTAAAATATACAATAACCATCGTAATAGGTATAGAGAACGATATACCACCCCGTTTTAAATTAACAAAATGTCTACCCTACCCGACGGCATCTGCAAGCAACTTTTCGCGTGCTTTATAGGTATGTCCCGTGTGCGTTTCCGCCGAATCGTCTAATTTATAATAATCATAATAATTATTTTGTTGTTGTATATGATATTGCACACCGACATCGTAATATTAACGAAATAACTGCACAATGTCCGTGTTGTTTGATTGTCAGTGTCCATGCCCCTGTTGATGGCTGGTTCGACGTTGGGATGGTCCTCGCCGATGATGGAATACACGTTGAGAGGCACGGCGCCGGTGCTGCTGACTTCGGACCAAGAGTCGTGGATGGTAACCCTGATAGACGTCGGCAACGTACTGTTGTCATTACCGGCCGGCATTATGATGGACAAGATCGGCCGGAAAATGTCGGTGTACTTGACGGTGCCGATAACGCTGGCCGGATGGATACTGATACTGGTCGCTCGGCAGGTAAGACGTGACGTTTTATTTTGCCGTCACCGCCGCCGCCGCGAAACCGACCGAACGCATTCGATCGGCAAACGCGTCGCCGACGTACTGCTGCACGAGACGGTATCGGTTTGACGTTGGGCGACAAGCCATTCGCACGGTGGCTATMGAATAAAATAATAATAATTATTATTATTATTAATTAGGGGCGTTAAATCGATGGCCACCACGTGTAAGATCAGAACTTTGTGTTAAAAAAGTCGTAAAGGGAGATATATCGAAAAAAATTTAACATACACATTTTATGATCCTCCGTATATTATAAGTATGTGTACCCAGTGGCATAGGCGAATCTAGGAATTCATAGCAGGGTGTGCCTTCACCTCAAAAAGACCCTCTGAAGTTCAAAATACCTCTCAGTTATCACACGTTTAGAATATGTTTCCCATTTGAAATAACATTAGGTAATAATATTAAATAATATTATTAAGATTAATTTTTATTACCTAGTTTATATGCTATTTTTCATAAACCATCACTATTGCAAAGTTCAATATATGTTACTCAATTATTATTTTGGACATACAACT